GGTTGGTGCTCACGGCGGCCAACGCCCGCCAGCCTGTGCAAGGAGGAAGAGGTGAGTGCAGAGAAGAGGGATGCTGATGTGGCAGGGACCAGCAACAGGCACAGCCCGGGGGGATGCAGGAGGGGGAGCTGCCTCCTGGGATGTGCTGGAAGGAGACCTGCCGGGCAGGAGGCTTTGCAGCCCAGGAGGAAGCAGGATGGAGGCGCTGGTTGTGACTCCCTTGCCCAGGCTGCACGTCCTCCCTTGGAGCAGCTTTCCCCCCCGTTACCCAAATGTCATCACTGGAGATCCAGCAGCACACCTGGAAGCAGGGATTGTCTGCTGCTGCTACACAGGTTCAATCCCATCATGGCAGAAAACCACAGATGAATCCGCTGTTTTCACAGAAACCAGCTGCTTTTCCAGCATTCCCAATTGCTGGACATCTGGAAAAGCAGCTGCCACACTCATGTGCTGAGGCGCTGGGAGGTGGTGGCAGGGAGCTGCAGTGACTGTAGCTGTGCAGGGTGGCTCTGTGTCCCCACAGCTCCCAGGATGTGCTCTGTGATGCTTTGTGTGGCTGCAGCACTGATGCTGTGCCAGACCCCAGGGAGCTGGAGCTTCACACACCTCTGGCTGTGCAGTAACCTGTGTGGGGCATCGCCAAGTCAGGCGAGGGGCTCCTGTAGAATGTAGGGGCCCTGGATGGGCCCTTTGGGGTTTTCCTTCCCTTTTAGCACCTCCCTCCCACCCCTGCAGCCCACTGACTTTCTCCTCTTCTCCAAAGACCAGTTAGTGCCCGTTTCCTGCAAATCACTGGACTTTATAAGAGCCGTAGTGCATGTTCCAACCACTTCCCTCTGTTCTTGGAGGCACCTTCAGCCTCGGGTTCAGCCTTGCCATCATCTCTTGGCCATCCTGCAGGAAATGAATGGTTTTCCACCGTTGTGGGTGCATTTCTCTGGCAGTTTTGTCTGAGGGATGTGAGTTGAGGATGTGCTTTTGCCAGAAGAGACATTGAGCTTCTCCTGCATCGCAGCAGCTTTGAGGAAGCAGAACCATCACCTGTTGGAAATCCAGAACAGAGGGAACAGGATGAATTGGTCCATAAGTGACTGATGGGGACCTCTACAGATGTGCCAAAGCTCTCCATTCCCTTCTACTCAGACATCTTCTCTTCCTTCTGAAGGTGGACTGCTTGGTCCTGCAGCTCCACCGCATCGGCGAGCAGCTGGAGAAGATGAACTCCCAGCGGATGGATGAGCTCTTCTCCCTCCTCCGGGATGGTTTCCTCCTGCAGGAGGGGCTCAGCTCCCTGTCCCAGCTCCTGCTGTTGGAGATCATCGAGTTCCGAGCTGCCGACTGGAAGATGACGGACGCTGCCCAGAAGTACTATTACAGTGAAGTGACGGATTAAGCCCTGCAGCAGAGGGGGGATGCCCCCAGCACCTTCACCAGCAAGCTTCATACCAAGTTTGAGTTTCTTTTCACGTCAGTGTTCTTCTAGCACCTCCTATAAATAGGATTTATACTGGGTAGAGCCTCTGGGCACTCTGTCAGGCTACAACTGGTGCTAACCTGACTTTGGAGGGTGGGAGAGGTGGGAAGGGCACGTTTAACCCAGGAATTCTACCACTGATTTTGGCTAATATTGGGCTGCTGCCAGCAAAGAGCAAGCTTTGAGTTTCTAGCTCAAACCAGCATTTTCTGAGCGTTAAAAGCACAATTTAGGCTGAGAACATCTTGGTTCATCCAAGAGCTGTGGGAGGCAGAGGGGAAATCCATCCCAGCTCAGGTTGTACCCGGTTCTCTGGGACAAGTCACACAAAACACTGTGGCCTCACAAACAGCTCGACCAAGTGCTGTTTTTCCCAGGCTCCTTCCAGCACCTGCATCCTCACAGCCACGAGTACCTGCCACAGGGCTCTAGTAGTTGGTTCTAGAGAATACAACTACTCCCATGTAGTTCCTTGCTACATGTGCAGGTCCCTGAACAGGTTTTGTAAGTTTTATACAACAAATGTCATGTTTTATCAGACTTTAGGGAGTTTCAACTACAGAATGTTTCTTATCATAGAAGAAGAAAAGAAACAAAATAGTCTATTGATGGATTTTTTTCTAATAAAAGTTCTCCACTAACATGCCCTGCTTTCTCTCTGCACAGCTGCTGAGCTTTACTTAAAGGTTACTCCTGACTTAAGGTTTCAATACTCATTTTCTCCTTGGGTGTAGGGTGTCAGCATGGCCTGGTACAACCAGGGTAACTGGAAAGAGCAGTGTAAGACTCAAGCAGCAGACATAAAGGTTTGGAGATGAGAAACCTTTCCCATACAACTGGTTTTATTTTGCTGTTATTCCCGTCAAACCTGTGCAGACAATGCTGCTGATGACCAGAACCAGAAATCACAAAGAGCCT